GAGGTGGCACAGGTATAATAAGAAGAGGCCAGATGGAGGTAGATATTCTGTAGGCCATTTTTGATGCCAAGAAAAATGTCCATACAGCCACCAACACTCTATATGGTTCCTTGCATGAAATGTCTTCTGTAATGAGTGGTAAGAAGTCAAGTCTAATTTCTAGGCTGTCATCAGATTTGCTGAGTGAGCAGGCTTTTCAGGCACCTGCTAATGGGGTGGGTGGCAGGCTGGGTTTCTCAGGGTGTAGAACTGCTCATGTGCTTTCCCCAGGCTCTGGAGGGCTGCTTCCTGCTCTGCCCCTTCATCTGCTCTAGTGCCCATGGTAGCAGCAGCCTGCATAATGTGGGGGCTCCCAGCACAGAAGGAGACTTGTAAAATTGAATACAGCCACAGGCTCTCATAACTCTCACTCACTTGCTCTTTCTCTCACTCTCTCAGATTTTTCTGCTGTTTTCTTGGGGATGGAAAATGAGGAATTGAGGAATTGTATACCTAGAGTGCTGGGACCTGGCAGGCACCACGTCCTAGACATGGATGTTGCCCTTTATTCATGGCATTGCTACTCTTCTTTTTTGCTGTTGGTTATTATTTCCAATGTCCCTCTTTATATCACCCTTGGTAGGCTTTGAGAATCACACTTTGATGCTGGGTAGGGCAAGAGGAAGAGGAAGGATGATTGCTCATTTTTATTTACTCTTACTGCCTGGCTGGGAAATATGTGTAAGAGGGAACCAGCATCGCTGCCCCATGGGTTTCTGTTGCTGAGTGTGTCCAGGAAGAAATAAACACTCTGAATTTTACATATCAAGGAAGCCCCTACAACACCGTGTTCTGTGAATGTGTGCATACAGATGTGTCTGATGAACCTACATTTTTACTTATTCTCATGCCATTTTGGAGGGCTTTTATCATCTTGCTGTCATACATAATTTTCATGGTAAATATCTGTTACATATGGAGTAACCTGAGAGCAACAACTCTCAACAAAGTCTGTCTGTCTGTAAGGAAAACCACCATGGTCTTAACTTACAGTGAAGACCAGACAGATTTTTGAGGAAGGGCAATATATTTTATTTGACCAACTGATACAGCTGGAAAAAACCAAATAGCTCTTAAGTGTGCTTTCTTCTTCAGATTTCCAATTATCTAGAACGTTTATAGCTACAGTAATGCTTCTTAATATTGTTTATATAAATCAGTAGCTTTGAACAACAAATGGGGTCCCCTTTTAGAGGTAGGCTGTGGCATCACATACACAGCCCTATCTGATCTCAGAGAGAATGAGGGATATTTAGGACAGGAATTATTATTACACAATATTGAAAAAGGTGAGTGTTTACATAGCTTCTACTCTTCAGCGTTCAGTTTCATTCATATGAGTTTTGTTATTTCATCAGTTGTGAGAAGTCTTGAGTATTATTTCCACAAGAAGAGTCTTAGGGGGAGTTGCTTAGCTCTTTGCTTGGTGTAAACCAGCAGTGCACGTAAACCACTCACACGTTAGGTGTTGTTTAATAAGCATAATTGTCATTCTTTCAGCTTGAATGAAATCACAGTGTACTTACAGGCATATCTTCCCTTCAGTTTGCTCCAAAAGGGAATTTGCACTGTCTTGAGCTTGGCCAGCCTGTTTCAATATTTTAGGACCAGTGTTTTCTCATCCTTTTTGACATGTTTAGCTACATAGGCTTAAAGCGAAAGAGGTTTTTACCAGTTCAACACATATTTGTGAACAAATTATTTGAGGCTATTCCAGAACTGAAGTAGTATTATAAAATATGAGGATAAAAATAGTTCCAATATAAAAATTAAGCAAGAAAACTCAGAGCTTTTAAATTTCTTTCAGAATCTTCCATCCATAGCAATGCTTAAATAGAACAAAAATGTGCAAGTCCAGATTTTTTTTTTTTTTCTTTCTTTCTGTTTGGCAAGTCAAGTTTAATAAATATGTAGGAAAACCTGGAGGGAAGGGGGGGAGGAGACCCAGACTGAACGCCAGTTTTTCTCCAAGGTCTCATATTGCAGAGCACTTAGATCAATAAAGTGAACGTTAGCAGGACTCTCCTGTATTATTGGATGTTGCTAGTCTAATTTCTCTGGAAATGTACTTCCCAAACAGTCCCAGCTGTCCCAGGAATGCAGTTTAACCATTGTTGTTCGTAGTTCTCGATTGGAAAGAATTAAAAACTGTCATTCTGACAGGAGATTTACGGACTGAGATTACAGTGATTGAATACCAGGAGTTAGGTGAAGTTTGGGCCTGCTCTCAGACTTGGGTAAGACTCTCCCTCCTTTCTAAAGAGACTGTGCTTTATTCTCTGCTTTAAGAAGAAAGAAGAAAAAGGATTGCTACTGTAATAACATTTGCATTGCAGATGATACATTTTTGTTGGTTGTTGTTTATAGTGGCTGCCAAAAAAGGCTCAGAGATGTGGAATTTAAGGAAGATGAAGCTGAGAGAACAGACACTATATCTAGATCCCTATTAGTATCTCAGAAGGATAAATTTTCTGACTGTTTCTCTAATTATAATAGGGGAATTTCAGTCTGTGTTTGAATCTAAGTTTGAGGGTTCCAAACAGTACGATTCTTTATCGCCATCATTTGTCAATGCACAATGGTGTCAGATGGTGTCAGACTTTAGATTCTGATATGAACTCATGCACTTGCATCGTTTCTCAATCCATACTACACATTTGAGTACTTAGATGGAAGAAAAAGGCAATTTATTTTTCAGGCAGCACTGTCCTAGGAATAACTATTTTAGAGTCTTCTAGTTAGTTGCTGTTGAGACTTAAAACTCCCCTACGAGCAGAAGAATTAATGTGCCTCTCAGCACCTCTTACCTACTATGTTTGATTGCTTAGACTGTGCCAGAAAGTTCTGAGCTTGCATTAAAAATGTGAAGTTTTTTGTTTCTGTAAGTTGCTACAGCTTCCATGCTGTGAAATATGTCAGCAGTTTTAATTTGATCATTAGTCTATATAAATATGAAAACTGTGGTGTGCAAAAGCCCTTTCCCCTAGGATAACCATATGTGTCCATACGTTTCTGTGTAGGTTGGATGCAAAAATGCACAATTTCAGGGGGGAAGAATCATCATGCCCTCAGTGCTGCTGTAGTGTTTATCCTGGCTGCCCTAGGGCTACCACTCACACATAGCACAGGATGCTGGTGAAAAGTTTTTCTCTGCTTTTCCCCAAGGCAGCCACAGTTCCAAAGGGGCTGTTGCAGAGGCCAAAAGCCAACATCTTTTCAGGTGAGGGCTGAGCCTTCAGTGAGATGGAGAAGAGAATTGGAATGGTCAGTTTTCAGTAAGAAAGCTCTTGGATTGAGATAAAGGCAGTTTATTAGGGAAAGCAAAGCTGAAAGTAAAGTGAATAAAGGAATTTATTTGCTACTCACTTTTGGCAGATGGTGTTTAACCATCCCCAGATTGAAGGGCTCCATCACATAAAATGGTTACCCAGAAATACAAATGGTGTAACACTGAATGTCCCCATCTTCCTCCTCCTTCCCCCAGCTCTTATTGCTGAGAACAGTCCTATGGTCTGGAATATCCCTTTGGCCAGTTGTCCTGTCTGTGTCCCCTCTAGCTCCTTGTGCACCCCATCCTGCTTGCTGGTAGAGCAGCATCAAAAACAGGGGCAAAAAATGCCCTGACACTGTGCAAGCACTACTCAGCAATGGCTAAAACATCCCAGTGTTATGAACCCTGCTTCCAGCACAAATCTAAAGCCCCGTTCCAGCTACTATGGAGAAAATTAACTCCATCCCAATCAAAACCAATATATTTAAGAATGGATTATTCATTGCAGAAACAGCCTATCCCAGTTTTTGTGCCATATTTAGGTAATTCTTTCATTAAAAAGTAATTTTTATAGTTAGAAGAGTATTTTGTACAACTCTGGTGTAAGCAGAAAAATGCAGTCAAAAAATAAGTTAGTTAGTTGTTGGCAGTGGCAACACCAACAGCTCAAAAGCAAACCAAACACAGAATTGCAGTTCTGAAGAGCTTGAAGCCAGAAGTGCTTCCTTAAGGAAGCACCAGTCAAATAGCCACTACCTTGTGTTGGTCTCTAGCCCAGTTCTCATTGTCCTTTTGTTTATTTAGCTGCAGGAAAATAAATGAGGTTGATATTATCCAAGTGTTTTGACTACACTTTTTTCCTTTTCTTTGCAATAAATTTTTCTTTGGGAATAACTAGAAGGCTCCTAGGGCAGGGGATGGACAGGAGACTCATGTTGAAGTAGAAAGTGGTACTGAGCTTGTGGGAAGGTGCTCATTAGTTGTCAGCAGTATTTGTACATTTAAAAATAATAGGAGCATCATGGGAGGTAATCAAGAGACGAGAAGCAACATCCTCAAGAGGATCACACAGGGAATCAGGTCTTTCCTCTTTTTTCTCCTTTGCCAGGAATCCTCCATGCAAATAAGCTTCTGAATGTCTTGTCTTTTCTCTTTATTTCTTACTGCAGAATTCTGCAAAATATTGTGTACCTCTCCAAAATACTGTATAGGTCTGCAAAGTATTGTGAACTTTAAATGCTTTATTGCAATCGTAACGTAGAAATATCACTGCAGTGAAGACTGTTTTTTTTCTCTTTTTTCTTCTGTTTGGAAAAGCTGTAAGCTTCTAGTTGTGTGTTAAGATTTCAGCAAGGCACTTGAGCACGCATTTGAAATTAAGCATGTGCATTAGTCCTTTTCTGAATACACAGAGTTATTAATTAGGGCTTGTAGCAAGACTGATTGTCTGAAGTATGAATAGAATGTGCTTGAGGGAGGGGAGAACCCTGCTTTTCAAGATCATGCATATCCTGTTGGTAAAAACTAATAAATAAAAACCCTCTAGTTAGTCATGCACAGGTCTGACCTCCCAGATCTGAGTCCCGCTCTCCCCTTGCTGTGGAGGACACTGAAGTAGGTTATGATCAATATGGTCAGTGCAGTAAGTGAATGTAATGATGCTAATGAGCCATTTCTTTATAATAATCAGGTTCTCCAGCCCTGCCCAGCAACATGGTATATTTTGGAAGCTCTCAGGATGATGAGGATGAAGAAGAGGAGGAGGAGGAGACAGAGGACACAAAAACAGCCACAAACAATGCTTCATCATCATGCCAGTCAACACCTAGGAAAGGAAAAACGCATAAACATGTACCAAATGGGCAAGGTAGGTCCTAAGTAGTGCTGTTCTCCTGTAGCCCTAGTAAAGAAATCTATGAGCTGAATGTGCTCAATCCTTGTCCGTCTTTCTAGGTCTGATTGAAGAAGTGGTGGAGTAAGGTGCAGTTTCAGCATCTTGTGCTTTAACCTCTTTCTTCTGATAGTCTGAACTCTGTTGCAGAACTACTGCAGGGCTGGAATTATATACATAAATATATGTACATACTGACATGGGGGTCAGTTTCTTCTCCATATAACAAGCAATAGGACCAGAGGAAATGGCCTCAAGTTACATCAGGAAAGGTTTAAATTGAGCATTAAGAAGAATTTCTTCACTTAAAGGGTTGTCAAGTCTGCCCAGGGAAGTGGTTGAGTCTCTGTCCCTGAAGGTATTTAAAAGTCATGTAGATGTGGCACTTAGGGACATGTTTTAGTGGTGAATTTAGCTATGTTAGGTTTGTGGTTGTATTCAATGATCTTAAAGGTCTTTTCCAACCTAAAAAAAATCCTGTGATTCTATGAGATATATTTATCTATGTACACACATACACATGTATAGACACAGTCATGCTCTCTGGCTTTTGAGACTGATGTTTAATTTAGAATGACTTTATTTTATCAAAGTTAAATATAAGTATTTATAAGTGTTATCACGCCCGGGCAACACTTGATTCCTTTCATGCAGTATTGAGACCACACTTGCAGTAGGTTAATATCACATTCATATTGTTGATTGAAAAATTTTATGGAAGAAACTTTTTTAAGTCAGTTATTTCTCTGCAAATCAGCAAAAGCTGCATTAATTGCACAGTAATTGTGTCACGCTGTCCTTGTGCCATATCTTGAAAAATTGATCCACATATATTGCAACATTACCTACCGTATAATGGAAGATTTAAAGCCGTGCTGAAAATTTCTGGAGCCTGCTGTAATGCTCCCCTGCTATCATCTTGTGTGATGTGGTTCTTTTTCCAGCAGGAGCTCTTGTTTCATAACTGTGCTATCTCTGTCTGACATAGTTTCAAAATGTAGCCTATGCTCTCTGTTCCCTTCCTCACTATTAGTTTTCCATGAGAATCTTTCTGGTGACTGTCCCTTCAGCTCTTCTTTTAGTAGGAGGATGGAGAGGAAAGTCTCTTCACAGTGCACTTTTTGAGAGGTGACCTGTGCCTCCTCTGTTCTTTCATGCTACCTTGCTCCAAAGAGGAGATTAGTAGATCCCAATTACTTCACTGTGCTGATCCTCATCTCTGCCTTTCAAAAGGGAATTTGCTATAAAAGATGCCTTTGTTACATATGCCAATTTTTTTTTTCATTACTGCATCTGAATCTGTTTATATTGCACACCCAAGCTCAAAAACTCACTTTTTTGTGAATGATTTGTGGATAATTGCAAGGGGATGTTATGCCTAATAGCATTTAAACTGTCAGCTGTGACCAGGAGCTTTAACACTTTACCAGCCATAGATCAAAATTTGGCACTTAGGATTGATTTCTAAGTAATCCCCCCAAAATAAGAGGCACAAAACTCTGCATATGGAAAATGAGGCTGCACGTAACAGAACTGCTCCCTTAGAGTTTTAAATGTGATATATCACTGCAAAAGGAGCTGAATGTGTTCTATGAGAATGTATGTCCCAGATGGCAGCCACTTTGAAATTAGCTCAAAACCAGAGACACCTGAAATCTTAATTGGGGGTAAGTAAAGGCAAACATAATGAGCCATATAATGGCTTCATAATCTTTATCAATATAGATCAGAGAGAGTGTAAATGAAGCTGCTGCTTTAATAGAGCTGCAAAAGACCTTTATAAAATACATAGGAGACAAT